TAATGACAAAAACGATTCAAGTTGTAAAAACAATTTCTTTTTGTCAGCTTTTCGGTACCGTTTCGTTTACATATTGTATACAATGTAACACCCACTTATTGAAACTAGACAGCGCCCTAGGCAAACACCTCATTGGCGCCCCTATTTTTTTTTGGCGCCGCTGTCACTCATGGACAGTTGGGTACATGCGTTTCGCGGCGCCCCTCCGCAACCTGGCGCCCTAGGCCCTTTGCCACCGCCTCAGCACCTCATTGGCGCCCCTATTTTTTTTTGGCGCCGCTCATGGACATTTGGGTACATGCGTCTCGCGGCGCCCCTCCGCAACCTCACCCAGGCGGGAGAAGTCATTCGATGATTTTCTCCCCTTAAAAAAGGCCCCTTGTCAAATTTGCCTTAGGGATAATACGGCCCCGCCAGTTATATTATGTATCCCATGAATAGAAGGTGAACCTAATTACAATACGGTAGTTTCCTAAATTTTATTTTAATGTCCGTCTGGTACATTAATTTAAAACTTTACACACGTATTTTTTCTTTTCTCACAAAATTAAATACTTTCGACGATATGTTAATTTGAAATATCGTGTGACGTCACAGCGTGCCGCATTTTATAGCACGTAATGACATAACGGCCATTTTATCTAAATATATATATATCTAATACGAGAAAATAAAAAAAAAATACGTGTCTAATATTTTTTCATTATCTAACTGACGGACTAATTAGATTTTTAATTTTGATACCCTGGAAACTACCCAATTAGGAAAAAAGCACATTTCATTTTACTAATGTATTTATAATCTTTGTAATTGTGTGCTTAACTGTCAATTAAATGTTTTTTCTTTTTATCTCTCTATTGGCACTTATTTTAATGAAAAATAACTTTGTTTTGCATAAGAATCAAGTTTTCTGACGGAAGACATTGCATTGCTTTTGACATTTAGACATTAACCTATTTTATCTAGGGTTGCCAACCATACTTTTACAATAGAGTATTGTCCTCTATAATATAGATTATAGAGTCTACATGATAATATCTATATCATGATATAGAGTACGCTAAAATATTTATTGTTACATAATGTTCACTTAACTAGTGCCATTCTGTAATAATATGGAAAAACCCATGGTCAGAATAAAAAGTTACTGTTAAGTAATGTTTTTTTAATGTAAATAAGGTGTTGGTACCACCGATTCGGTTTACTGAAAGAGTATTTTCGGTCATAAATGTAAAGTGGAGCGAACAGAGTTTCATTGAAATTGATAAAAAATGAACTCTGTACAAAAATACCTTTTGAAAAATACAAAATAAAATTAAATGATACTCTTTTTTGTAATTCCATACTCATTAGTTGCCTCCTATTAAATCACTATTATATTGCTTCTAAAAAAAGTTGGCAACCCTAATTTTATCCCCATTTTAGGGTCTTCACAATATTTATTTTGTAACAAGTAATATAAATTATGTTTTTAGTTTTGTACAGTAATTATTATAAGAATTACTTGCTGAACATAAATAATATTTAATCTTACAATATTCGAGGATGCTCGACCACATTCGGAGACAAGATTATGAGCCCTAGGTTAATCCGAAACTAGTCGAGCGTCCTCGAATCAGTAAATATGTACAAAAAGTCCTCTTATAACAAAATATATTTTTATTAAAATAACAATAAAAGCAGTTTACATACAATAATGTCTAAAATTAGTTTAGCAACTATTAATAATCTGTGCTACTGCTAATACGAGGAACATAGCTTGAAATTAAGAAATAATATAATAAGTAGCTTTATAAGAAATGTAAATTATCACAGACTTAATATAAAAAATAGTTTTAAAGCCGAAAAGATACTAACTATTAAAATGCTATGCGTTCATTGGTCGAGCATACCGCGCGCACCATTAGTAAAAAATGTCGTGGTGGCCTGGAGGTTTAAGACGTCCGCTTCTCATGTATGAGGGTGCGGGTTCGAAACCTACCAACGGCAAGTACCTATGTGTCTTTTTCCAAGTTATATGTACATTCTAAGATTATTTAGACACCACTGACAAACGGTGAAGGAAAACATCGTGAGGAAACCTGGGCTTATATTTTCTAATTATAAGTTTGAAATCACCAACCCGCATTGAGTAAGCGTGGTGATTAGTGCTCAAACCTTCTCCGTGTGAGAAGAGGCTTTGCTCAGCAGTGGGCATTAATAGGCTGTTGATGACCATTAGTAGCAGGCAAGCAGCCTCTAACGGCCGTTAAAGTAGTGGGACCTGCTGCATATGTTGCTACATAGTTGGTTGGTTGACCCAGAGCCGTATTTTCCTTAAGGTAAACTAGGCAAATGCCTAGGGCGCCGTAAGACGCGCGTGCCCAATCGGGTACTTTCCCTAATCAAAAATAAATTATTTCAACTATTCAATACAATAAAATATTAAAAAATAATCACACTTTCATTAATTGATTTTATGACCAACTTAAGTTTAGTATATTACCAGCAAATTTTTAAGAAATAAGTATGCTGTTTCACGCAAACAAAATCTCGTACAAAATTCATAGAAAACTGACCTTTTTGACAGTTCGAAAAAAATATTGAATTTGACTTGTTGGCAAGTACCCGATTGCTAATTTTTTTTTTAAGGGGGGAAAATCATCGAATGACTGCTCCCGCCTGGGTGAGGCGGAAGAGAGTGTCAGACTCTTACTGACTAAAAACCACCCCGTTCCTTCTCCTGCACGTCGAGCCGGAGCCCCGGTTACCCGTTAGGTTCTCCGCGACACCCGATTGGTAATAGTGTCAGCAATGTCAAAAAAAATTAAGGGCGCCTATGAAGTGCTTGACTAGGGCGCTCTCTTGGTTTGATCCGTCACTGAGTGGACCCATAAAATTTACCATCGCGTTAAAAAAAATAAAGATATTCAGCAGTGTATTTTCTCTTCGGCTGCTTGATGATGATAGCAACTTGCGTCACATAGCATAATCTTCGACCAAATAGGTATCCTTATCCTTACTAATCCTTACTAATATTATAAATCTGAAAGTGAGTTTGTTTGTTTGTTTGGTCCACCTTCACGCCGTAACTACTCAACCGATTGCTTTGAATTTTTGCAGACTAAAAGTCCGGAATAAATAATAGGGTACTTTTTAACCCGGAAAAAAATTATATTCCCGAGGAAAAACAAAAGTATTGGTATAGATGGCGCTGTGTGTATTGGTAAATGTCACATAGGCTACTTTTTATTCTTTTGTGACGCGAGCGAAGCCGCGGGTAAAAGCTAGTATCTTTATATATATAATTCTTCTGTGAGTGTGTATGTCACTTAACTTCTCTCAAACGACTGGACAGATTTTGATGAAATTTTTTGTGTGTGTTCAAGGGCATCTAGGAATGGTTTAGATTCACAAATCAGCCCGGCAGATGGCGCTGCAGTCGATGTTTAAGTTATTTAATTACTAAACAGCTGAACTAATTTGAATGAATTTTTGTTTATACATTCAAGTGGATATGCAGGACAACGTCTGTCGGGTCCGATAGTTATAGTATATTTTCGGCTTTATAACACACAGTAAAACAGTTAAAAATATTACAAGCTTATCCATTTACACATAGAGACAGCTAAATAAATAATATAAATCTCCTACTCTACATATTGCTGGCTCAAAATTTGTCATATAAAAATGTATTTCGTTGAAATAATAATTGACACTTTTTAGGCATGGAACACCTTGGAAAAACCATCGGTTGTAAACCTAGGTCATTATTATAATGAACTAAAGCCTTGTTTACGGAGATACGGCGCGTCACGAGTCTGTCCATCGACATATACTAATGGGCATGCCGTACGCGTATAATCTGCAGTATTTTTTTCGTTTGAAAAGAGTGAAAGAAATGGCCTATGCTTTCGGTCTAGCGCTATCTCTTTCTCGCTCATAACGTCATTTTGAGAGAGATCAAGATAGACCGAAACTTCGTTTCCTCTCTTTCTTTCGGAGTGCCACAATTCTCCTATTTTTTCGCCGTTTTTCAATTTAACCCTAAGGTTGACTGGGAGAGAATGCCATATGGCATTAATGTCCGCCTTATGTACCATTACTTGATTCTGTGTACATTAAAGCTTAAATAAATAAATTCTCATCTCTAAGGCATGTCCATTAGTATATATCGATGAGTCTGTCGTACAATGCCACCGCGGGCCGCGTCATCACTTACACAAACATATTAAGGAAGCTCTACACATTAGACCATCGTTGGGCCAATATAGTGAATTGTAAATTTCCTTTCTGTACATTTCAATAAATTGTTCAATCAGTGTTCGTCCACGCCATTGTAATTCGTGAACAACTCACGCACGACGGCGTGACAGCACCGTCTTTACCGACGATTGGCAACAAACTGAATGAGACGCTAATGTGTGAACGTCGTTGTGGAGCGCGCCGAGGGCCCTTGATGAGCGCACGAAAAACTGACAACATTCGGTTGGTCGACCAAGGCTGAAGCGAGCGTTGGCAGGTCAACAACATGGGCCAACTAGGCCTCTAAAGTGTAGAGAGAGCGTGTAGAGTCTACACATAGGGCCAATGCGATGACCCAATGAGTAGAACCGCCTTTATGAGCAACGAACAACGAATGCCCAACACATCATTACTCCATGAATGAGATCTTAGATGCCTGTCATGAGTGGAGATTTTGGCAAAACCTTCTCATGTCCATAATCTAACAATGGCCTGTCACTGTTGAAGCACTGGTGTTCATTTTTTCTTGATGACGTGGTCAAATGCAACTTCAACTATCGAATTGCGTCATTACAGTAACTAAGTGGACTATACGCTTCAAAAGGGCTCAAACAAGCCTTGGATTGGAATCTCTACGGGAAAAGCTAGCGTAGCCGACTGGCCGTCCTTTGCAAACCTGGCATTGCACAGTGAAGTCAGAAGCGCTGTGTTCACAGTCCTCTGTGGACGTCAGACCCATTTAGAGACGGGAGTTTATAGCCATTTTACAATTGTAACTAACTCTTCTGCACAATCTCGCTAGCAGTCAAACTAATTCCATGATTAGACAACAAATGACTTTTCAAACTACATTTTTGTACAAAAGTCATGCTACATACCTCGCACTTGAACCTTCTATCATTGTTGTGTATCCGCATATGTTCCCTTAACGTATACTTCCTTGCATAGGACTTGTGACATACTTCACAAGAATATATCCGTTCTCCTGTATGCTTCACCATATGAGCTTTTAATGCCTTCTTACTGAAGAAACGGTACCCGCACTCCGTACACTGACAGTTCCGTTCCATCAAATGACTCTTTTTAATATGATACATTAACAAACTCTTTAAAATATACGATTTACTACACACGTTACACTTGTACTGAGCTTCATTGTTATGCACTTTCACTAAATGTTGATTACGTTGATAGTAACTGCGGAAGGATACGTTGCAATATGGACAATTTGATATATTCCTCGCTCCTAAATGCTTCATTTTCTCATGGTAATGCTTCTTAGTACGGCTAGCGAATACTTTATCACAGTGGTCGCATTTAAAGCTGCCTTCTTGGTGAGTAGTCCGATGAGCGTTCAAAGATCTCTTCGTAGCAAACGTAGCGTCACATAACGAGCAATTATAATTACTATAATGCTTATTCATATGTTGTTTTAACATTTTAAACGTCTCATATGTTGAGGAACACATCACACAATCATAGACTTCGCCTTTCTTCAGTTTGAACTGTAATATATGATCTTTGATGTCAGAGTGTATGATTATTCCGTGGTCCTTTGTTATATGATCCTTGAATACAGTCAGGTTGTCCATTTTTTCGTGGCATACCGTGCAAGTAAGGTTTGTGACGTCGATTTTGACGTTGTATTCTCTCATATCGAAGTTGGATTTGAAGTCTAGACGTTCTTTTGAGTGTACTGTGTCTGTATGAAGTCTTAGATCTGCCGGGTCTGGGAATGAGAGCTCACAGTACCCACAGGAGTACCCCAAAAGGGTTTTATTTGTAAATGGTGTAGCGTTCGAGTATTTCAGTATAGTTTGAAGGTTTTGTCTATGTTTTTGCTTATCGTGGTGCGGTTGTCCGGTCCAAAGTAAATTGATTTTAGTTTCCATTGGTATAGTGAGTTCAAGTCTCTGTTTGGTTTTAATTTCCAACTTCTTTCTTGGTTTTATGTCTGGCATTTCGCAGGATTCTGGAACATAAATATTGGGGAATAAGTGTGACTGTTGAGTAACGGGTCTCAGGTTTTATTAAAATGGCAATGGGTTGTTATGGTCTTTCTCTTTTATAAGGAAAGCCAGTAAACGAGCACACGGATCACCAGATGGTAAGCAATCGGCGGACAATGTAACACCCACTTTATACTATTTATGTTATGAGTCCCATGTGATAGGGTGGGAGCCTATTGCCATATACCGGGCACAATTCCAGGCTCTGTACTACAACTGAGATTTTTTTCTAAAAACCCAGTAATATTTTGCCCGAACCGGGAATCGAACCCAACTTGCCCAGTAGTCGTACTTCTGACCACTCGGCCAACGAGGCTGTCTAGCACTTTTTGATATATTAAGTACATAAAAAACTCACTGATAGAAGTAGCAAGTCTAGACACTAGAGACTTAATCTTCTCATTCTTCCACGCGCTCTCAGATGGCGCTGGTGTTTTCTTTGAGGTACTAGATTTGGGTTTAGCTCGTTTAGTCTCTGTCTTCTTCTTTACCGACACACTCTCACTTTTGACTTTGTTTGGTGGTGAATTGCGCACTGAAAACATAGTATTAAATAACAATTTATTTACCACGAGATTTCTTTAATTTTTATTTTAAGCCCTATAGCAGCGTCCTGCCGGAGGTTATACGCCGGGGTCGTGCAGTCCATGGCCCTCTACGGCGCCCCTGTGTGGACGCCGAACCTGATGCGGCGGCCCGCTCGGGCGCTGCTCACGTCGCAGAGGGTCATGGCGAGGCGATCCGAATTATCCGCGGATACCGCACGACGAGGCGGCGAACCTCCTTGCCGGATTACCGCCGTAGGATCTAGAGGCGAAGGTGCTCGCGCGCGTGTATGGTATGCGCGCGGAGACACCCACTCAGGCGGGAGAAGTCATTCAGTGATTTTCCCCCCTTAAAAAAAGCCCTATAGCAGCGTAGAGACCCCAAGAATCTGGAGAAGCTTGTGGTTCTTGGTCAGGTCACCTATACAGTAGTTGAATGCTGTAAAAAACCTAACCGGCCTGAGAATTCCACAAGCCATAAAGACCGCAGAGGACAGACAGGGGCAAAAGAAACAGCAAAACTTCACTCACCAGCATCTGCTAAATAGTAATCATCTGAATCATCATCATCATCACTCTCCACCTTCGGTTCCACTTTAACTTCTATTATTTTATCTCCTGAAATTAAAAAAAAAATACTTGAGCGATATTAAATTACTCTGGGAATCTGTGCGATCTTCTGGCGGAATGGAGGCGAAATCTTCAAATTCACTAGTCCGCAGTTTTCTGCGATCCCGCGGCTGCCGCGGTTGCGATTATCGCCCGCAAACTTGGCGGTTTATTATCTTAAACGGGCGGTTAAACAATCAGTTGAGTTCCAGACCGGCTGGCCGTCCCATTGCGATCGCCCGCCAACCGAAAGCAGAGCGCGCAGGTACTAGCAGAACTACGGGCCGTGGCCGCGCCCGCCGGTGCAGCGGGAGCCGCAAACAATTGCTACAGTCGTGGGCGTATAACGCGCCGTGAAATATGCTTCTATTTTTTACATCATCATCAACAGCCTATAAATGCCCACTGCTGAGAGCAAAGCCTCTTCTCACACGGATAACGTTTGAGCATTTATCACAACGCTTGCTCAAAGCGGGTTGGCGATTACAAACTTATAATAAGAAATTATAAGCCCAGGCTTCCTCACGATGTTTTCCTTCACCGTTTATCAGTGGTGTCTAGATATCTTAGAAACTTATCTACATACACATCTGTATTCTACAAAAGCTGCGGGCCCGCAAACGCGACTGGCGCGGGAGAAAATGGATCCGTGTGCCCTTAGCTTAAATGTTACTTTGTAACGTATTTGCAGTAATAAATATCATTTCATATCATCATCATCAGCAGCCGGAAGATGTCCACTACGAAACAAAGGCCTTCCCATTGTAAAAATATAATCTCACTTGTTTTATCCTCCTCCCCAATTTCCATCGACACCAACTTCTTAGAGAATTCCTCGTCAGCCTGCAGGACCTGCTGCTTAAAGTCGACACAGCTGCGGAGAGTCTTGATGCACTCCTCGCAGATACCAGCCGGTTTTATATTTGAGGGTGTCAGCTGTGAAAACAGTGATTATAAAATTTATGTTACTCGTATTTGTTTTATGCAAAATTGCACTGAAAGTAATGGGGATGATGACAGGGTATGAAAATTAAAAATATAATTAGTCCGTAAGTTAGATAATGAAAAAATATTAGACACGTATTTTTTTATTTTGTCGTATAATAAAACAATACTTAGATAAAACGAATCAAAGTTTAGGAGTGGGGGCTAAAACGTCATTCCTTAGTATAAAATGTACTGAGAAGTGACGTCACGCGACATTTCAAATCAATATATCTTCGAAACTATTCGTTTCTGTGAGAAAATAAAAAATACGTGTCTAATGTTTTTAAATAATCTATCAGACGGACATTAAAAAAAAAAATTAGTCGTCTACCCCATTGTTATAGAATGTTCTCAGGTAGGATATTGTATTAAAGTATACAGTATGTAGTAATAGGTTCACCCAATATTAAATGAGACGGAAAAGTGTGGGAGAGCTATGGTTTCGGGATGAATGGGCTAGGTCAGCTGTAGTGATATCACAGTAAACCGATGTGAAACATCACTTGTGTTGTGTTTTGTTGTATGAGTGATGTTACCGGAGCCCCTCCACCCTTCCCCGAATCCACAAGAATCCTTAAATGCCAGTAACACATTTGTAACACCTCTGGAGTTCCGGGTGTAGATATGTAACGTCAATTGCTAACTATCAGGTGAAGCGTCTACTCATTTACCTGTTTATCCCATAAAAAAGACTATGTGTATATTTCATTAAAAATTGCTATTACGTTGCCTATGTGCACCTTTGCTTACGTTATGGGATAAGTGTGGCATCACATCAACAGCCAATAAGTGACCACTGCTGATCAAAGGCCTCTCTCTCCTCATGCACAGTTTTAGGCATTAATCACCATGTTTGCAATGCGGGTTGGTGACTTAAAATTTTTATGCTGACGTTGTGCTTATTGATTTACCATGTACCTAACTGTCACTAAAGTACTATGAAACTAAAGTACTTACGTAATGTAATTCGTTTTTGAATGAACATCAAATAACAATTTTTAGCCATGTTTTTTTTTAATATACTGGGCCGATGTTTGACCACTATCTCGAGTGGTGGTAAGCGATGATGTTTTTGGTGTCTGACTACAGTTAGGAAGCTGGAGTATACTCCAGCCACTGTAGCCTATTGCCTATAGGATACAGTTCCTTTGAACTAACAAACCAAGTCGCCGCCGAAAAGCTAGCACAGACTATAATAACCTTGAACTGATACGGTAACATGTTTACATTAGATCAACTCTTACTAAATTTCTTTCCTAATTACATAGAAACGTATACGATAACTTTAAGTTCCATTACAAATTCAATATTCTTTATTAATAAGTACAGAATATCATTACGACCGGTAGCATTACAGATCAAGCAGATCGCTTGCTCCACTTCTTACCCGTTATCAACAACACTGGTGACCCGGTTTTTATCGCGAATTCTTAATTTTTGGTCCATTTAAATGTGTCGATATGAGGATAAATAAAGTGTATACTACATAAAGAACTTAAATTATGAACTTACAACTATATTAAAGCATTCCAGCAACATATCTGCGTAGATTTCTTTTTTGTCCATCCAATGGTATGTGGAATGCAAGTCTTTATTTTGGCCCTGGGCAAGGCAGCAGCGGCAAACACCGACCGCTTCCATTGTGTTTGAGTATCTTACATCCGAATAAACAGTCTCTATTAATATTTGTTTAGGAAAATATTAGAAAACGTATCGTAAACTAGAATTTTTGACTGACGGTAAAATTCTTGTTTTTTTACTTTACTTTTTATTTTTTTATCAATTAGGGATACCAGGTTTGGTGATGTTTTGAGTTAATTCAGATTTTGGTAGAAAGTTTTCCTATTTTATTTATTTATTTTATAAATAATCCGTTTGATTATATCGTAAAATAATACTGAAAATATCAAAAAAACTAGTAAAGTTAATAAAAGAAAACAAAATTCCTTTCAAAAAATTAATAGAATAGAACGTAAAAAAGCTAAAACTACTAAAATCAAAATGGCTGCCGGCTGGTCGTCATCGATTTTTGTTACCGCTATTGACGCTATGTAATTTTTCACTGGAAACGTGAAAATTCTGTGATTTTTGTTGTGGAAATGGTAATTTAGTGTGGTTAAGATGGAGTTTAATGAGATTGTGGTGAAGGAGAGCCCTGGGCTGTGCCGGTGCTGTCTTTCTGAAGGATGCTACAAAGACTTGGGCACCGAATACACTTGGATGAACGAAACTGAAGTCTACGCTGATATGCTTCTCGAATGCTTCGATATTAGTGTAAGTTCATAATCTATTTAGAAAAAAATATTTTCATTGAAACCCAGTCAACAACCTTTTTTTCCTAAATTAAGGAAAATTCATTGAATTTGTTATAATGTTTTGTGTTGTAAAACACTGATCTCATGCAGCATGAAGATAGACCTTAAATAAAGCAAGGTGAGCTTTAATTCAGAATATTGATACTGCATTGATCCAGTCAAAACCAAATCGGAAATTATTAAAAGTAGTTAATTGAAAGACAGATTGTTTCATGTATCAATGTTTGAAAACACTTGTCTTATTAGAAAAGAAATAATTTCTATGTCATGCTAAAACACAAACACAGGTCAAATAATGTAATATTGTGTTATAAATATGCTCACCACACAGAAAATCCTAGTGAAAGGCAAGGTTTAAACCAACCGTATTGAGCTAATCCACATCAAGCAAGCTTAGTGATTAATGAAACCTTTTCCATATGAGAAGACTCTTTTGGTCAGTAATGTCCACTTATAGGCTGGTGACAATGACGATTATGATCAATGCAAACTAAAAAAAAAATACTGGCACCATTATTTCCACCTTTGTGCTACTGTTAAATAAAATTCTCAATGTAATTCAGATCACCCAACATAATGAAGGTCCGAATGGTCCGAATCGCCTCATCTGTGAAGTCTGCATCACTCGGTTGCGGGACGCGTGTAACTTCAAGAAGCAAGTCATGGACTCGGAGAAGAAGTTCATTGATATGATGGGTAGAGGGGAATTTAGGCCAAAAAGTGAGTATTAATAAAATAAATAAATAAAAAAGCCTTATGTTTCCCAATATTTTAAATGATCTACATTTTTAATAGTGATTTATGAGTATTTAGCATAAGAAAAATAGTAAAATTTACTGATCAATTTCATTCATGGTGGCCAGCAGTAGACATAGTGCATGTGTGTACACAATCACAGATGCACTACAAACACAGGTGGACAATCTATTCCTTTTACTTCTATTATATAGCAGACTAGCTACTTCCGCGCGGTTTCACACGCTCTGCTCTGCTCGTATTTGTCGTAGCGTGATGTTTTATAGCTTATAGCCATCCTCGTTAAATGCACTATCCAACACAAAAACTGTGCCAACATTGCAGTTGCAACGTGAGGGAGACGTGTTAGTGTTAGGAATATCTTTAAATTAAAGTGTCTTAAGAACTAACTTAGGGGTATTCCACTTTGCGCACCTAAATGAAGCGCACCCAGACGAAGCGCACCTAAAGTATTCCACTTTGCGCACCTGTAGGTGCGCTTAAAATAAAAATTTTAAATAAATAGTTTTTCTATTCCACGAAGCGCACCTACGAATATCAGTCGCATAGTGCGGAGACTAAGAAATAAAAATATCGATATAAGAAAATATTTATTACTAGCGACCCGCCCCGGCTTCGCACGGGTGCAATATGTATATACATACAAACGGAAGGTTTGTTTTGGTTAAGAATCACTCTATCTATTAAAAAAAACCGCATCAAAATCCGTTGCGTAGTTTTAAAGATCTAAGCATACATACGGACATACAGCGAAAGCGACTTTGTTTTATACTATGTATTGATGATAAAAAAATGCCTTCTATTTCCCAAGTTCTAAAAAGATGTATGTATCCAAAAAAATAAATTAATTAAAAGGTTTAGTTTGAGGAAAACCCTGAGGTGATCTTTTGTTCTTCATCTTTTTTTAATATATTTGATGGGCTGGATTTTTTCGATCTCTTTGACTGCATTTTAGTGTTACATTGTTCTCGCACAATCCAAACAACAAAACTATATAACTAGAGAATTGTATTGTGAACCTGATTGAAAAAGAGTAACCTATGGAGTTTCTTGCTTGTTCTTCTCCATAGGAATCTACACCTTGGAATGAGCAAATATCTTGTTGACATTCAAAAGTTCCTTTCTGGTCTAATTGAAATAAATGATTTTGACTTTGAATAAAAACTTATTTTCTAAATTACAGTGTTGATCTACCAAACACAGATGAAGTGTGAAGATCCAGTTGTGGAACAGATAGAGAATGCCAATGTGGAATATCTGGAGGATGAGATTGAGTTTGGTGATGGTAAGTATTTATCTTTCCTACAGAATTTAGGGTTTCAATGTCTATGTGGTAGGTCATGAACCGAAACCAGATTAAGATACTCTCCCACATATAATCAAATTAACACCACACAGAATAAAAACCTTCCAAATTCTCTTCCAGATGACCTTCTAAAAGACTCTGACTCAGTGGAGGCCTCAGTGTCAGATATCACAGTAAGCGCTCTACCCATTAAGGGCAAGCGAGGCAGGCCTCGCAAGGCCACACCAGTGAAACCAGAGAAACGGGCCAAAGTTGCCAAGATGGAGGATAAGCCGAAAACTTCTAAAGCTGTCGCTAAAGGTAGGTCACTGTTTTGATTAAATAGACGGTGGTGTGCTGTGTTTTTTTAAATGTGGTAAAACGGGATGAATTGAATTCGATGGGTGAATAAGTACAGAAGAAGGGTGAATAAATGTTGGGAAAATATTCTAATATTTATTCACCCCATTCCTGTATCTATTCACCCCGTGTTAATAGAATTCGAGGGGTGAATAGGCACCGGTAATAGTGAAAAGATCGGAGTAGTTGGCCAATATTTATTTGTTCTAATTTGATAGATATCTAACCTTATAGCTTTTAATCTTTGGATTGGGCTCGATTTTTAATCATTGTTCTTTTGAATCTGATTTACTTGCAGATTTTGAAATAGGCAGATTATTAATTTTGCTCATGGGAATACGGATTCATTAAATTCATGCCTAAATATATGTGAACAAGGGTATTAAGCTCCCAGTTTACTAATTAGGACCATTGCATCAGTTTTACTATAAAATCCCTATTCCAAATAGTTTTAATTTAGAAAATCACAGCAAATCACCACTTTGTTCTGACAATATTTCTGGTGTGAATCTCATCTTAAAGAATTATCATTCAAGATCTGAATTCACAATATTATTCTGTCCAGCTGTTGTTGAGAAATGTTACAAGACTTTGTTTTACATGTCAAAGAAGATCTACATCAGAAACATTGTCCCATTATTATGTTAATTCAATTTAAATATTCCACTGAACATTTGAATTTATTGTGCTTATTTGAAACTAACTTGATGACTTGATACCTAAATTTATATTCTTCTTATCACTTATAACGCGACGTTTTTAAACAATTTAAATATATAAGACTCGACTTGCGTTAACTGTTTATCGCGGTTCAATTTTCACACCAGAATTTTTAAATAAGCGGGTCTCAGTTTCCTATGGCTTGAGCTCGATTTATTATCTAATTCTGAGTACGAGTTAGTTCTACGTTAAAAGTAATCGAAACGGTAACGCGTTCGGCGTTTTGATTGGTTGGTTCATTGGCACCGGCCAATCACAGCGCCGAACGCGTACTCGTTACGATTACTTACTTTAAACGTAGAAACGAACGTACGAAGGCCTCTGTATTTTCATTCTATTCCTGGTAATATCATTTTTAAATGCGGTATAACAATTAACCTTATTCGGTGTTCGGGCGTTTAAACAATTCGGTGAATAGACTTTTTTTACTAAATTAAATTAAACATCTAAAAAATTTGAATTTTCTAATAAATTATTTCACCAGTTACATGGTATGCTCAGGGCCATCTTAGACTACGCTGGGCCCCTTGAGCACACAATAATACGGGTCCCTTGTGGAATGTTTTTTAACGTTGCACCACAATAAGATCATCCACACATTCTCCTGTATCGCGGATGCATTTACAAACATACAAGTTCACATACACATGACACCCAGACCCAGAACAACAATTTTATTTATGGATCACACGAAGATTTGCTTCGTGCGGGAGTCGAACCCGGAACACGTTGCGTGACAGCCGGTTGCCACGTAACGTTTAGCGTGTGTGTGTCTGTCGTAGAAATTGTCGGTTTTTCGAAGCTCCCTGAGAGCGGGGGTCCTGGGCAAGGGTCCCGAGCGCCCTTATGGTAAAGACGGTACTGGGTATGCCAATTTTAGTAGATGCAGTGATTAGAGTATTTTAAAAGATACCTCTGTGTTGGTTTCCGTGTTTCTCAGGGTAGCCAGTTAGGAAATGCTAAATTGTTTCAAATCAAATACTGTCAGCGCAGTGTGTTAGGTACAACAACTACTTCGCTTTGATTAAAAACAATCCTTGTATTAAAAAAGTATATAACAATTTTTATCAATCATGGGTACCTGTCATTTATATGAGTACTGACTACAATCAGGCACTGATTACGGGATCGTTAATTGCCACCCACGCGTGATTGATAACCATGTCTTATTTAATCAATGCTCTTTGCAACATGGCGTTGTTTCCCGAAGATGCGGAATAGAATCATGAATTAAAGTGAAAAGTTTTGATTGAAGAGTCCAGGTTCCGATGAAATCTAAAAAGACTGACATCCCAAAGCATTAATTCTAAGATAGCTGAAGAAACCTACCCCTAATGCGCCACAGTGAAAGAGAGAGAGAATAAGGAGAACTCATACGAAAAATTTCACTTTTTAGGTGGAAAACGGTGCACAACAGAGGCACGGAGTAAGTCCTCGATCTCCTCGACACTGCGCAACAAACTTATGAAGAGAAATGCTATAACTGTTCTAGAATCATCCACCGTCATCCCCTTCAAATGGCAAAGACATAACTACCTATGTTTCTTCTGCCACCTCTCTTTTAACGACACTAAATTACTTAAGGACCACACCATAACCGCACACACGAAATCTAATATCAAATCTGCGGTATCCTATTTAAGAAGGGACGAAAAGGTCAAAATCGATGTCTCTTTCGTCGAATGCCGAATTTGCAACGAGAAATTTGACAATTTAGACCTTATTATAGGACATTTGAAGGAGAATCATAGTGTTGGCTTCAACGAGGAGTACGGTTACGGTCTCATACCTTATTTTCTTCACAATGAGGTCTTTAATTGCGCCGTTTGTAAAGAAGAGTTCCAATATTTTTCCAAATTGAACCAGCATATGAATGAGCACTACGGGAACTATATTTGCGAATCCTGTGGCAAGTCCTTCCTAAGTCAGGATCGGTTACGATGCCATTCTTTGACGCACGGACAAAAATTCCGATGTAACCTATGTTCAGAGGCTTTTGACTCTATAACGCAGAAGAATAACCACGAATCAAAAGTCCATAATAAAAATAGACTTCTTAAATGCTTTTATTGCGAAGAAACCTTCCAAAATTACGTCCAGCGAAAGAAGCATCATATGACAAAACACGATGTTAAAGCCCCAGAATATCCGTGCCCTGTTTGCGGTAAAATATTTCATATACAAAGCAAAATGCAGGTGCATTTAAAAGAGGTTCATATACGAGAGAAGAATTACTCCTGTTCTATTTGCGAACAGAAGTTCTTTTCGAAAAGTCACGTTCGTAATCATATGATCAAGCATTTTGGTGATAGAGTCTACCAGTGTGAAGTTTGCCAGAAGTCGTACGCTCGTCAACGTACTTTGAAGGAACATATGAGGATTCACAGCTCTAGTAAGAAGATTGTATGCAGCGTTTGTAGTAAGAGTTTCGCTCATAATTGCAGCTTAAAGTTGCATGTGAAGATGCAGCATGCTGAGACTGGTGAATTGAAAAGTGACTTGGCATAATTAATAGACTGACTGTATTTAAGCCACGCAAAGAGGTAGAGAGAAAGAGAGAGAGAGAGAGAGAGAGAGAGAAGAGAGAGGGGTAGAGAGAGAGAGAGAGAGAAAGAGGTAGAGAGAGAGAGAGGGGTAGAGAGAGAGAGAGGTAGAGAGAGAGAGAGAGAGAGAGAGAGAGAGCGAGAAAGAGAGAGAAAGAGAAATAAAGAGAGACAGAGAGTGAGAAAGATGCATTTAAACAATGGAGAACCCACTTTTTAATAACTTAACACTGAGGGACTATTGCCAATTACCAAAAGGAAAACAGAAAAACTTACTTTGCTCGGCAGTCGATTTGCGACCCCCATGCGGCAGTCAATTTGATATAAAATAGGAATATACGAGAAATATTGCAGTTCTTTTTTATGTTAGAAATTATGAAATGAAAAACATAGATTCTTTCTAATGTACACTGATTCTTTAAATCATAGATACCGCCGTATGACATACGTAACAATAATTGAATGTTTTAACTTAAATAATAATATTATTATAAACTATTCATAAAAACCGGCTTAAAGCCTCTATTTTTAGGTCGGTTGATTATTGTACCTTCTCTTAAGTATAACACAACCTTTTCTAAAATCGCATCAAAATCGGTTCAGCCAATCGTAAACACAAACATACATACAGATCAATCAAATTGAGTACCTCCTTCTTTATTTGAAGTCGCTTAGAAACAAGTACAATGTTGACACACGCTTTGGTGCCGTAATAAGGAATAATCCGACGACAACTTTATGTATAAGAAATATTCACTTTTTTCTTCGAGTACTTATATTAAAACTAGCGACCCACCCCGGCTTTGCACTGGTGCAATAGACATGTATTACACATATAAATCTTCCTTAAGAATCACTCTATCTATTAAAAAAAAACCGCATCAAAATCCGTTACCTAGTTTTAAAGATCTAAGCATACATAGGGTCAGACAGACGGTGGATAGCGACTTTGTTTTATACTATGTAGTGCGTACGACCTCGACTTCGGGCCACGACGACATTCCTCCGGGCCACCACGACATACGTTTGTAATATAATTCCTAAAATTGCAGATTGATAAAATAACATAGGTTTTGGAGCAACGGCATGTATAGGTCTTTTCGCATTTATAATATTTTTTAGTTTAAACAAATTTTAATAATTACGAGGCTTTTTTTATATTTATACTTGAGTCTTAGACTATTTTTTATGTTTTTTTGCTATAAAATAATTCTTAAAGATTACGTAATTATGTGATATAGTTTTATATTATTGTACTAATTAGAAATTAAACTTAAACATCTAATCTAATTGTTGTTTCTTATTTATTCTAATCGTCGTACGTTAAAAAGTTTTTTTTAAAGAACCGATATTAATAAGCTAGTCAAAAGTGTGGGAGAGCTTTCCTTCGGCACGAATGGGCCGGCTGGACCGAGCAGAAAACCGACGTGAAACAACGCTTGCGTTGTGTTTTGTCGTGTGAGTGAGGCTACCGGAGCCTAAATCCTTGAATCTCCAACGATTCTCAAATTACTTATCCCCAAAAGGCAGGCAACGCATTTGTGTAACTCCTCTGATGTTTACTCTATACGTTTTTAACATTTTAACTGGTCAAGATCCAAGCGATCACCGGTGACCGCTCTAACTTACACCATTATAGACCTTATTTCCGATGTTCAGAGACTACTTTTGTATGAACAAATATTGTGGATTTTTCAT